CAAAACATGACTTGATTCTGTCTTTATTAAACTACGAAGTTATAATTAAAACCGTTAACAAAGTTCCTCAAGGTTACATTCTAGTATTATCTAATTTTCTAGGAAAAAATCTAATTTTCTAGCCATACATATTTGGCAACATGAGGAAGACCTTCTCGACCTGGCCCTCAATGTTTCATAAAATAAATTAGAGGGAAGAAAAAAATCCACATAGCAAACTTGCAATTTGTGCAATCACTGAAATAATGAGCAAGTATAAAGTAGGTAATAAAACCCCATTGCCAGTATAACTTAGGGGAGAAATTTAATTTGACAGTACACTGGGCAGGGTTTAATGATAGCAAAATCTCAGGTCATCGGCAGAAACAGGAACATTATCTTCATTATTTTGGGGAAAGAGAATATCATGCCCAAGCTAGGCTGTTGATTCTTGCCTGGATACAAAGCTGATGCCGCAAGCAGCAGAAGAGCAATGGTAGTGGTGGGTAAGCATAACAGTTTGCATCAGCTGTAGGGTTTTGGAATGACTACTGCAGACATCAGGAATACTCTTCTTCTGAGAGATGTGGTGCAAACTCAGCTGCTGGCTGACTGTTTATTTCTGAGTTGCCCCCAAGATGCAAAATAAAACTGATTCCCTATTTTATTTCAGCATGTTTTATTTTGTTTTGGGTCTCCCTTGAACAACGTGTCATTTTATTTCTATTCTAAAACCTGAAGAGTCAAAAGAGCAATACTGCAAAAAGATGCCCTCCAGAGTCAAGGCTGCCAAAGCTTCTTGTCAGACTTCTATTTCCTGATGTGCTGCTACCCATGAATAAGACTGAGGTCCATAAATTAAAACAGGTTTCAGTTCTCTCAATAGCTTACCTTTAATCTACATCCTTTAATATTTCATAACAATAGTTATAGATACCATCCATAAGTTTTCCCTCAATTCTCTAAGGCCAAAAGATTGTATATGAAATAAATTCTTTTAAAGTTTGTTTGTTTGCTTTTTTAATAGTCCCCAAATGACTTGCTCCCAATGCCAATTATTTTTGGCCAGGGCATCTTCAAAAATACATGACTGTTTCCTTGCATAATATAACCACAAGTCATACAGATGGCAGGAAAAGGAGTAATTCGTAATGTAGGCTCACATAACATAAAATATATTTACCAACATTATGGGTACACTTAAAACATGACCTAAAGCTTTCACTGACAATGAATTGTATTTCTGGGGATTTGATGAGATCCTGATACAGATAAATGGCTGTTCTCTTTCGTATGCATTAGGAGAGGCTCATACTGTTACGTGACCAAATGGAGACCTGGAACCACTCAACCTATGGGAATAAAGCAAATAGTTTGAATTGCTGATGACTTATTTGACAAATGGAAATTTTTACTACAATTTTAAAACTGAAACCTATGGTACAATCTCTCTTTGCATTAAGGAACATGATCCTTGTTACTTTTATCCTGCAAGTATCAAAGGAACAGTCACAAATACTTGTTCCATTTTAAATTCACTGCATTCATCTCCTTTTAAATTTTCTAGAATAAAAAAATTCCATGAAAAGAAGAAAGAGTTTTAGGCTTCTGAAAGGCAATCTATTATTTCTCTCTCTCTCACACACACACACACACACACAATTAGATATACAAGTTTATTTTCTGTAATACAGTCCTAAAATGATGGATTAGGCCACTAGAATACAAAAGGAAAGAGTGATTATTAGAATAATAAATATACAGCATTCACAAATGTGTTTAATTTTGATTGTTCACCACTGTCAACTTGGAACCATTATTTATGTCAATATTCAAATATAGACATTTCACCACCAGCTACAAAATTTTTAATACTGTAAAGTTTTCATTTTCAATTTGTAACCTTGAAAAGCTGTCTCTTTATGCTTCCTTTTACCTTTGCTAGATATATTCAACACAGATGTTGAACCATTACAGCTGAACTAAACATTTTACTGTTATAGATATCTATACAACCACCTTTATATATGGCTGTTTCAGTATCAGTTTGACAGAATTTCCCCAATAGTGATGTTTTATGATACTGTTCACGACGGAGTCTCCTCTTCAGTTTATTTAAACTTACTTATCTGGCTAAAACTCCAAGACTGTCACTTCTTTTGTATGAACTCTTTCAAAAGTTTGAAGACAGTTTTATTATACAGAAGTTTATACATATGGGGGGGAGGATAACATTTCTTTAAAACATCAGTATTCACTGTCTAGTTTTAGCACTTCGAAGTGGGGAGAGGAGAACTGAAATGGGCATGGAAATATTGTTAAAATGTATTTTTCCAGCTTGTACCCTTCCCTATTTTAATGTCTTTAAATGTATTTTTAAGCAGCTAAAAGATTAAATTTTTCATAACACACGCTAATTTTTCTTCATTTGTTTCTCAAATTCCCAATGTTGAAAAAGTACAAGTGAGTGCATATCTGGAACACACTGAGGAAATAAGACCCTACATTTTGTAGCTCTTTAATGAAGCAGGGCCCTATAGGCTAATTCAATATGAACTTTTACCTTTAAAGTGGTCTACCTTTTATTGTGCGTATTGAATCAGGCGAGACCTTATTGGAACTCCAAATGTTCCCTGAGACAACAGGATTGTGTGCATACAATCCTGTTTCACTTTTTGCATGTAGAGTCATTGGAAAACCAAATAGGAGAGTAGTTGGAAATTTTTTTTTCAGAGTCCTAATAAAAGGGAGACTAAAAGTGCTAAAGCCCACGAAGTGAAGTACTCAAAAGTTTCTTTCAAAAGGCTTCTTTTATGCACTCACTGTACAACAGATTGGAAATGCAAGATTTCATTATTCCCCCCCACCTCATCCTGCATGAGTGATGGATAAAATATAGACAGTAAAATAGGGCAGGCTCATAAAAAACTCATTAGAACAGAAACAGAATGTATTTTTCTTTCTCAAAAAGTTTCTTTAAAAACAGATCATAGTTCTCAGAAGCAAACACAGTTCTTAGAAGCAACTTAAAACATAGAACTCTGCTCTCCCACTTTTCTCACATCTTAAAAACATCAAGCAACTATAAGCTGTTGCAGTAGCATCCAGACAGCTTTGACACTACTCTTTGTGCCAGAAGAATGCATCTTGAAGATACTGTTTCCTATGATGCAGGGTTTTGATTTGGGCATAATTTTTTTCCAACTAACTTCAGTCAGAAGTTTTAATAACAGAGTAGCAAACTCTATTCTATTGCTGTTAGTAAGTAAAAGGGATACTGTACACTTGAATGATTTGTAAAGTAATGGTCATCATTGTTGAGCAGAAGTATGACAAATTGGCTTATAGCATATTAAACAGTGTAAAAAGAATAAAAGTATGCAAAATATTAATTGTGGGATTTGGATATTTAAAGGTCCTATTGCTAGTTAATTCTACAAAATATTTTCTAAAAGTTAATTAAAAAACCCTAGAAGTAAAGGCTACCAACATCTAGAGAAATATTTCATTCCCCCTTAAATTGGGATTGTGTACTTAGCTATTTTCTAAGGAGCTAGAAAAATCTGTTCTTTCCTACATAATGCTTTGAAGCCATCTGCCAGAACAATATGTTTCTTACTCCTACTCTTCAAGATGTCTCTCAGTTCTCCCTCTGCATGCATAAAGTCACACAAAACAAAATGAGAAATTATCTGTATCATCATTTAAGGCCAACAGATCAACAATTGATAAATATTGTTTTCAGTCATATGTGCATAATGAAGTCCCTTATTTGCCACCTGAAAAAATATTAGTCATTTCTTCTGTTGAGTATCTTTATTATAAAAGTTTTAAAGTAGTTAAGTCTGTCAAACAGCAAATGTGAATTACATATCAGCCTTTTTTCCCCTCTTTATACAACTATTACTCTTTTGTTCACCAAGTGATAAACTTTATTTTATGGTGAAGAAAGTGAATGTGCAGTGAAGTGAATGTGCTCCTTAAAGTGGGCTTGGATGAGGCATTTTAAGCCAATGGAAGCTTTTTGTCACCGTTAACTGGTAATTCTTTTAATCTATATGGAAAAGCAGATATAATGCTTATGAGATACCTCTCCATACTTGCTCCTGAGAAATCCTCTCTTCCAGAAGAGACATCCTAAACCCAGTAGAGGCTGATTAAGCTGTCCTAGTTTGCAGGGACAATACGAGGGCCTAGAAGCAAATATCTACTGATCCTGAACAGAACAAGCAATGGGTGACTGCAGCAATAGCCCCAAGCACCTTCTCTGAAGGCACATGAACATCAGCTGCCACTGCTGACGCAGCTCCTACCATAGCCCCTGGCTGCTACACCTCCATTCAGGAGATTGCTTCATGGAGGAAAGCCACTGAGACAACTGATGCAGTGTGTACTGTAAGGACAAACAACTGCAATTTATCTGAAATGGACAGTCAGTATTGGCATAATGTGAAAAACTACCATTAGCTCTGAAGGTGAGGCAGGTACTAACAACCAGAAGAATTAAAAAAAACAGGTGGAAAAAAGATTGAAGTCCAGCAGGCCCAGGAAAGCAAAGCCAAAAGATGAGTGACAGCATATGACCTGGTTGTACAGAAGCAACCTACTGGCATCTTTATCAGGTGGACTCTTAAAGAAGGAGCCAGGCTGAGTCACCAAAGAAAAAGATTTGTTTAACCCTTAACTCCACAACTTATGCTGGCATGTTAACAGCAGTTCTACAGCCTTCTCTCTCATATTACAGGAAGCAAGCATTTTTAAAATCTTAAATGTGGTTAAAGCTTAAACATGGGGAAAACAACTTGTGAAAAAACGTTTCAGGTCTAGAACAACCAGAAGGTCAAGTATTAAAAGTTTTTTATAAAGGTACAACATTAATAACCATTAACCATAGTGATGCTGTCAGTTACAAATGTAGTTGTCGATAGCCCCTGGAAATGAGAGTTATGATGAAGGGAAAGGCTCTCAAATACAGCATGGAATTGTTCAAAAGCCAGAATAGCGAGCCTGAGTGCAAGTACCTGTCAAAATCTTCGATCTTCTGCATATTAAACAGCAGCGAGGGAACTATCTTGTCCATATGCTGAGGCTCCCATATGGTTGCTCTAAGTTCATCATTAACTGTTTTGCGAACCACTCCCTGAATACCCCTGATTCCAGCAATCCGGATCCTTGGAGGAAAGGGAAGGAAAAAAAAAAAAAAAAAAGGTTTCAACAGGGTAAAAAAAAAAAAAAATATCAGAAGACGACAACACGCTTTTTTTTTTCTTTTTTAAGGTACAAGGCAATGTAATAGTTAGGGAGTGTGGATTAATGGACACAAATTATTGGAGAGGAGGTTTAGATTAGACATCCGCAAGAACTACTTCACAGTCAGGGCGGCTAGGATCTGGAACCAACTTCCATGGGAAGTGGTGCTGGCTCCTACTCTGGGGGTCTTTAAGAAGAGGCTTGATGCCTACCTGGCTGGACTCATTTGAGTCCAGTTTTTCTCCCACCCAAGCGGGGGGTCGGACTTGAAGATCTACAAGGTCCCTTCCAACCCTACTTCTATGATTCTACAATTCTATCATTTCAATTTCAACAATAACATAGGATGAACTTGGAAACCTGGTTAAAACCTGTAAACCCTATATACTGCCTTTACGCAAAGGCAGCATACAGGTTTGAGTTTATACACACACATCAAAACTGACTGGAAAAGCAGCAAGTGAATATGCTTTGACCTTTAACAAGGACTAAACCTAATCACTAGCCTTTTATACTACATTCTTTGATACGAAGTTCCAAAGTAAGCATATAAAAAGCTTTGCAGCTTTAAGGTTTTTATTTGTGGTACTCAGCATTTCAGTTAGAAGACTTTTTATGTTAAGGAGCTGAAAGTTATTGCTGAGAGCACCCAGGCTAACAAATCTTTATCTTTTTTGAGACAAAAAGAAAACATGAAGAAAAACTATTTCATGAGCTTTTAAAAATGAAATCTATTGTTCACCGAGTCATGTTACAACTTAAGTTTCAACAAAGAGAAATATAAGGTCATTACTTTATTTCGTTCAAATTAATAATTTTCCAGGCTTTCCTTCTTATGAGTCACTAGAAGCATGAGGGGAGCACAATTTCAAGTGAGCCACACTGGTCAAATACAAGATGCACATTTAAAAAGTAGCATATGTATGCTGTTATCCTGCCTGGAATTGTACAGTAGACAGATCCGCAGTTTTGTTCTTGAAAATTAACCTGCAATCAAAAATATCGCATAGTCTGGCAGAGGTTGCACTCTTGTCCTAATCAGAGTACATGTTTTTATTTAAAGCCAAAACCCATCCACATCCCTGTTGCAGTTAGGAATGGGATTAGAAATTATGAACTATGTTCAACCCCTCACTTCACCATCTTGAGCAACTTGACAAACTTAGGTTGCCTCTACATGTGCAGGTAAAGGAGTAACGGGGTCTAATGCATGATCCACACAATTGTGCCTGATGAAATGCCACATGTGCACAGCAGAAGGCACAACAATGGGATCGCACATTAGATCCATCACACCTTATTGCCGGGACAGGGATTCCCCCTGCATCGGCAAGCAGCAGGCTCCCTCTGCTGATGGGGCTTCCTGCTGCAGGGACCACATGTAGCTGGGGCTGAGAGTCCCCACACCAGACTGGACTCTTGGACATGCAGCCCAGACCAAGAGTGCCATCAGCTGCAGGACTTTCAACTCCAGCAGCTGTGGGGATGCTGCTGTTGCCTCCCAGCCATGGGGGGGGGGAAGAAGGGGGTTGTGGGGTGCCCCACAACTAGGAGATTGCACCTGCTGTAGTCTCTCAGCCAAGCAGTTGTGTGGACTGCCCCATGGCTGAGAGATCGCAATGGCTAGGAGATCAGAGCTGCCGCAATCTCCTAGCTCCAGGGGGTGCATTGTCCTCCCCAGCACCTGGAAGATCACAGAAGCTGTGGTCTCCCAGCCATAGACTGCCTACACGTGCAAACTAAAGCTGGGTAGAAACTAGCTATTAACCCATTACACACATTTGAGCAATTTTTATTTTTATATATATATATATATAGCTTTGTCCGTCTGTCAGTAACACTTCATTCGCACTCTGATTGTCTGAAACAACCAGAGTGCTCCAACAACTTTCTGGACAGTAGACAGTGGGGCACTGCCATGACAGTAGCAACAGAGCCGGGGGGGAGACCAGCGGTGCTGGCCTCTCCCCCTCCCTCCCTGCTCCTTGGAGGCAGCTGTGACGTGCTGGCTGTGCAGTGCTGGCCTCACCCCTGCCCCTCGGAGCCAGGGGCTGGAGTGGCCCTTTCCCTCCCCCCACCCCCCAATAGCTGGCAGGGAGGGGGAAGCATCAGGAAAGAGGGGAGAAAGGGGAGCAAGACGGCGGGGGGTGGTCCCCAGTGGCAGTACCCCACCACCTGCCATGGCCGCCACTGCTGTGTGCAAGCTCCCCTCCCCACCGTTCCTGGGAGGCGGCAGTAGCGGCACAGCACTGAATGACAGGGGCTGGGGAGGACGCACAGGCCCGCACCTGAAGCCGGGGGGGGAGGAGATGGGGGGGAATGCAGGAAGCAGGTGGGAAAGTGGGGGAGCAGGGCCAGGCCTGAGGC